AGGGAACTCAAAACTGGATTATAGATGGCAGACAGTTGGTGACGGTCTAGAGTCATGATGATGACTGCATCTACAATAAAGATTAACATACCAGGATGACAAAACTGGACACTTGTGGGCATGGATCACCCTTCTGGAAAGAAATCCCACTGAAGATGTCGATTTTATGTTTCCAAATGTGACTTATGTGGATGAAAAACAAGTAGATGAGCTATCAGTGTTACACATGTTTGGAAGAAACATTCAGCATAACGCACTTAATGCAGCTAGAAGGGAAAAACAGATCATATTATTAAATAGATAAAAGCCAAGAAAAAATGAAAAAGAGGGGAAATGGAAAATTCCCCCGAATTCATGACATTTTTGGAAGTATGAGGCAGAATGCAGAGTCAGAAAGAAAGCCCTGGAAAACACACCGTCGTGTGTCTTATCTTCATGATCTTTCTCAAGCAGATGGTGTCGCTCTTCCTCTCTGCACTCAGCTGGTACCTGAGGTTGTTTGGCACTGCCAGCAGAGGGCAGTAGCAGCCAGGCACATTCAGTTTGAGGCTGCTGACTCTGAAGAGGCAATCTTCCAGTCCATCTCTCACCAGACTTGAAAAAAGTTACAATTTGGAAAAATAAATAAAAATGTTATAAAGACATGATTATGAAATAAAAATACAGAGTAAATATAATTACTTTTAGCTTTTGTTGATTAGATAAAAATGGATGGACGCATTGGATGTCTATACAAGACTGTGAGACAGCTGCTTTCAAAATAAATAAATCTATAATTCTTACACTTTACAATGAAAATTACAAAAAGTTTTTTTTTACAAATTCTGTAAGAGTTAACAATATATTTCCGAAGCATTGTCTTCTCACTATACAGTACATTTGTGTTCAACCTGACCTTATCCCCAACTAAATAAAATTGTAGTACTGTATTTTTGATATTGTGTATTTTTTTTTTTTTATTACAGGGAAACTTTTAGAGGTGACACAAATATTTCAATGGACTCTTACTCTGGATCACCCTCAACCTTCTCTTACATTAACATGTAAGGAGCTGTATGATCATGTGCAGCTCATTTTCTCCCCCATGATGATGAAACTGTACATAGTGGTCATAATGGGTGATGGAGTTACATGACTGAAGTGATCTCCACCTGTTATCAAATAACCAGTTACAATTTTTAGCAGCAGTGTTCACTAGGGCTGAGTATCGTCTCTGATTTCTATAATTGGTTCGATTCCGATTCACGATTTCGTCGATATTGAAAAGCAGAAATGAGGCTGTCTTAATTAATGAGGATATCTATCAATATATTTTTCACTTTGTGTTTACGTCTTTGTGTGGAATCCGTTTATCTGCTCTCATTTACTGTTTTTGCTGTTTGGTGGTTGTTGAAATGAAAGCTTTAACCTGAGTTTCTGCTGTTTCTGGCAAAATACATTTATATTTAAAACTCGATTCAGGATTTTTAGGAATCATCGCGTTATTCAAGCTAGAATCAATTTTAATCTGAAAATCAATCATTGAAACCCAGCCCGGGGCCATACCCTCTGTGTGTTTCATTTATGCATCTTAGAGAGCAGTTACTGTAGAGAAGAGACTTTGTATGCCTGAGGTAGAAGAAAACCAGACACCAGGCCAGAGCCATTCATTAAAAGAATAAATAAATGAACAAATCTCTCGTCATCACATCATCTCTTCAATTCCACCAAACCATATTCTTACTATGGTTTTCAGATGGGGAGCTAAGAATATTGGGGGCTTCTTCTCACTCTGTGACCAGTGAACTTTCTGTTCTTTACAGCAAACGGAAGAAGCATTCATTTGTGCCGTGAGTTCAGGAGAAGCAAAAATGGGAAAAGTGAACGTCTACTTGAAACGGAGTTACATTGTTGTGATCTGATTGCAGTCTGATTGCAGTCTGATTGCAGTAAGTGTTTGTTTTTAGACCCTTTCAGTTAATTCTATTAAGCAGAATTAATCATTGCAATTGTAACTGAATATATGCATTTTTTAAAAAAAACTATTATAATTAGGTTAAGGTGTTTGAAAAAATTATTTGTGACTCATAAACCTTTAGGAAATGTGTTAAAGCCTTGAACGTAATGAACTGTGTGCTACAGTTTTCACAGGTGATCAGTTTGGTGGTTCTGGTATTCACTTTGTTTATGTTTTCTGACCACAAACTGAAAGAGGTAACAGGGATACTGGAGTAGTCTATCAACAGCAATAGATGTTGATCAATATTGCATTATGGTGTTACTACTACTTTACTACATCACACATAGCCAACAATGGCAATTTTGTAGGCCATGTTAATCAGCAGTATACATGAACTTATCTTTTCAACTGAGATGCAAATTGTTTGTTTCCTCTTTAGAAAATATGTATCCTATTAACCCTTTCCTGTTTCAGGGATGCCTTACGTACCTTGTTGAAATCCTCATGCATGGATTTAAGTTTTTTTTGGGCACGTTACTGGGATTTTTATTATTGTGGGTAAGTACAGTCGCAATCTACTAATTTAGCATAAAAAACCAGAAAAATGGAGTTTAAAGAAACCAGAGGCGAGCAAGTGTCTGTTTTCTTTGGCTTTTCTGCCCTCCTCAGTCTCTTTCTAAAATTGCAAGAGGACTCAAAGCAACTCAAGAAACAACAGAAGATGAACAGGAAGTAAAATAAACAATCTTTCTTTCACTTTCCTGTAGATGTAGTCCCTCGTGTTGTGTAGAGCCATCTTGTGCCAGCTGAATCGAAACAGAGACACCTCGGTAGTGTATTAAGGTGCAGAGGCAAAAGCAGGCAACTACACCACCCTCACAGAGCCTCCAGACCACTTCCGATGTCTTTGCTAGTTCTGATGCTTCCAGCAGTGATGGCCATTATTTAAGAATGCTAAATAATAAATATATTTATGATAATTGGTTATATTTAATATATCATATCCTACAACTGCATTATGGACTGCTTTATTATGACTTTCTGAATTTCAACTCAGTTGATTGAGATTATTGATCTGGGATATCAACACGGAGTGAAAATGCACTGTTTAAAGCTAATATAACTAAACGTATATCGAAAACAAACTGAATATCATGTGTGAATTGTTTTAATACTTGATGATTCGGTAGCTTTTAATTTTTTTATACTGTGTAAAATTTGGTTTGTCGATGTTTTTTGTTGTTTTGTTGTTTTTTTTTTACTTTTTTTTGTATTTCAAGTTTTACATTTCTACTTTGTGTTCATTTTTTTAATACGACGTGTTTGTTATATACTGGTGTTTAGTATGAGGTGCCTTTTTTTTCACTGTGCTGTATCATTTAGGCCAGCTGCCAAAATTTATTAAATTTAAAATGCATACAACCATCATTTACTTTCCTCAACATCTGCTGCTGGGTTAACCGAGCTGTTAGCGTCATTAAGAGGACGGGCTGTTTCAGTTTCGTAAGAAAACAAAATAAAATGAAGACGTAAAAAAAAGACAAAACTTGTTTTATTCATTCTATTTACAAAATATTACATCATGTCATGCAAATAAAAAACAAAAACAGTGTGTGACAGAAACAAAGACACCATACGTTGCCAGAACGTGTATATTAGGCAATAATGGTTAAAGTGCACAGGTAGACACTGGATCTGCTGCTTCAGATTAAATTAATTTGACAATATATGAGTCGAGTAGACGTTTCAACAGCAGGCAGCTCATGCAGCAAGTTAAAGTAGACGCGGCGTGGCATAAAGGCTTCTTTGGTGAGAGTTGCATCAGTTGGGGCGTTACAGTCTCTGCAAGAAATTGGGTGGCACATTTTCCTACAAGAGCCTCTCACAACCTCTTTGCAGCGGCCTTGCCAACATCCGTGCAAAACCTTCAAATCAAAGATTTTACTGCGTGTCTACTGTATGTGCAACAAAATAGAATCCCCTCTCCTCCTCCTCCTCACCCGCTCCTCTCTGCTGGGCATGATCACACAAGGTCGAATTATTAGATGTGCTTTAAGAAAAACTGAAATCAGCGACAAGGTTTCAGATATTCAGTGTGCATAACAAGGCATCAAAACATTCTGCCGTCCCAGAGACATGTGAATCATTCCCTTGTCTCACCTGATTATGCAGTAATATGCATGGCTAAACGAATAACTGAATCAAAGCACTTTGTAAACAGTGTTTAAAAAAGCTGCTACATAAAGCTTATTAATATTATTTTGAAAAGATTATTAGTTGCTCTAATGCTTAAAAGTCAATGTGTGCTTAAGACAAGTATTCGTGTTTCATTACGCCATCTTGACTTGAGGTACATACGTCAAAACTCAGAACTTACAGTTGGCTTCAGTGAGGCAAGCTTTCAATAAAACATCGAAGCAGATTAATTATTATTAGATTAATATCTGCCTTTTGAAAGCCTCACTGATATATATCCAAAGTCTTAATGTACAGAACAAAAAGCCAGAAAAAAAAGCGTAAGAAAATGTGATAACTAGTTCAGATTGATTAATGTCATTAAATTGCACTTTTTTCTCTCTCTCTCTCTTTTTTTCTTTTTTTACAGCAGTAAGGCAGACGAGTCATTTAAATCTTATCTACTGTGCGCAAGTAGATTACTTTTAGACATGCATTTAAACATCAACACAGAGAAATTATAAGATAGCCAGGTTATGGAAATTAGGATGCGTGTATTAAAACAGCAGGGGGCTAGAAAGCACCGGGAACGTATCTGTTTGATTCGAGAAGAGCCATAAAGTCCTGTTTCCTTCTGATCTGGTCCATCAACTTGATGCTCATTACAAGTAAAATAACCTGGAATAGAAAAGAAAAGAAAAGTTAGCACAAGGAAAATATTTCAAGATGCTTTTCACCAACATATAACAATATATATATATAAAAACCACATACACATACCCAAAACACTCCGCTTCCAAACTGTATACCCATCGACAACGAGAATGCAAGCTTCAGCTCGGAAACGTAAATTGGAAGGCAAGGCTGTGAACGAAAAAGTGAAAGTACAGGCGGGTAGGGGAGCATAGTTAGTTTTGACTTCATCTGTGCCAGATAACAAGATTATATCATTATACTTTAAGTATACTGTGCAGGAAGGACACCTCCAGCAAAGTGGTGATGATTCACTGTGCAGGGGTTAAAAAACTTTGCCTGAATTTAAAAATCAGAAAGAAAGTCTACAAGGAATCAATATTTTTTTTGTTTTTAAGAATTTTCTTTTTACCTCTTGATAAACATAGTGGTTCTTTGGAGCCCCGAGTGTGGCGCTGCCTCGTAGGCGAATCTGTCGAAGAGTACAAAATCTCACTGCACAATGCAACAAATTGAGGACAATTTCACCAGTTTTGGTTTTAGCTGTGCCCGGCGTGGATTGTTCCTTTCAGATTTTCTTGCTATTGCTTGCTGATCAGCACAACACACTCTCATGCTGATGAAGCTACACTGAAACCCAGAACTAAAAAAAACCCCCCAAAAACATAAGATGATTTAAGTTTAGAATTAACTAGGTTCTACTTCTAGGTTCTACTGCTCTCATGGCTTCAAGTCGTCCACACATCACCGTTACACGCTCTTTCTGATATCATTTCTCCTTCTCATTCCCAAATATCACAACTCACACGCCCAAAATAACACATGTTTTTTTCAGCATTAAATTTAACATTGCACTGCATGCTACAAAAGTTAATAAATCCAATATGCAAGATTCATATTCTCCTTCCAAAACTTTGTGCAGTGATAGGGAAATTCTTACTAATACATATACAGTAAGGCCAACCACCAAAACATCTTTCTCTGCGTTTCAGTCAGAAAACTGACACTGCACCCCTTTGTTAAATCCTGACAACAGCTTTTTAAAGCCTAAACAGGGTTTCACTGTGGTGCTGTGTTAGTGAATCTGGCCCATGGACACAGTTATTTTTGCAGCTGATCTCATTAAATATGTATTTAGATTCCCTTTCAGAGTGCCGCAGGGGAGCCACAACACGCATGCGGGCAATCAGGATATTTTTTAAAGTGAGCCAACAGATTTGCAGCGTTTCAGAGTCAAATTCATGCTACAAATTACAGAAAGGTTAACGAAATCATAAACATAAATGTCTGACTTTGACAAAAAATGGTTGAAATAAATAACCCAAATGTGTACGTACTTGCATGATGTGCTGAGAGGACTAAATAGCACTTACTTTTTTACTATTAACTATATTCCTTTTACATTTGGGTTTACAGTGTAGATTACATTCAACTTTAGTTTCCATTTAGATTTTTTATTTAGGTATGCCTGAATCTTTTTCAGAAATATCTCAAATGCAGTATTCCATTAAAACTGTATGAGTTCTACTTTGGTCTGTGGATAAACAACAACTAGTTAACCTCAATCCAAGACAACTTAAGCTATACAAAGAGTCAAAGAGGAATAAATAACTACATTCATCGTATTGCTAGTTGGATATTTAAATGAAAAAACTGCTTTACTTGGACTCAAATTACACTGGCACTTGCTATGGGGAAAACCAATTGTGTCTTCAAGTTTCACCAGTGAAACTGCCAATTTAAATATGTCATTAGTTCCGCAGTTTCTAGAGGACAATGTGTGGTTACAGGACCAGAGATGAACATAATGACCACTGTTCTTATAAAAGAAAGACACTCACGCATTTTCCTGGATATTGGCAGTTACAGGATGAAGGGATGGAAGAGCCCCAGTCTTTGTAACCTTCAACGAGACCGCAGCATTCCAGCTGGAGGTGAAACACAAAGGTTCAAAACAGGTCCAGCAGTAATTATTTCTTGTATCATTTAGTAAAAAGTTGCAACAGTTCTTTAAAGTTTCATTAACACAAGGTGTAGCACTGATTTCTGACCTTTAGTTCGGTTTGGATTTGGAAACCTTCACTACAGACTTGTGTTTATTTCAAAGATACGAGTTTCAGGAAGGCTCTTGGCGTCAGAGGGAGAGTATTGTCATTAAAGCAACGGGCCTGAACATCGCTACTGTAATGGGCCTATTCTTTTGTTTAAGCATAATGCATGCAACTCAACATTTCCTTCCTGGGGTAGCCAAATTAAAAAAAACAAAACCAAACAACACTCAAGAGTGATCAGTGGTGATTAATAGCAGATGTTTCTGGCGTGCATGATTGACAACAAAGCACTTTCACACTAGCAAAGTTTAGCTAGCACAGCTGCACTATGCTAGCTGTATACAAAAAAGGCAAAAGTCAGCAGTTAGCAGAGGCAGGCACACTTTGGATCTTTTTAATACTCAAAAAGAGGTTAGTGTTTTTAACATAAAACATACGTTTATGTCAGAGTATCCTAACATACTGTAGATTTAAGAGTTGCTAAAAGCTGGCTGAAACAAGCAGGGCAAAAAAGTCATGACCTTTATCATAATGTTACATTATAGTTTCTATAACTAGCAAAACTTATCAGCCAAATTGGAATGAAATACAACAAAAGGTCTACCAGGGTGACCCACGCCTCTTGCTCTATGGTAGCTGGAATAGGCTGCACACTGCCCGCAGATATAAGGATAAGTGTAAGAAAATGGATAAATGGCCAATCAAATTCTATTTTACATTACAGCGGAATATACTGGGTTTGGGAGCTAGCAGGGAGCCTGAACTTCAGTTTCTTCAGTTTGTTTCTAAAGGGAATAAGCAAGTATATAATGGTCTGTGTAACAGTTACCACAGCGAACCAAGGTTGTATCGCCAAGGTGTTTGAGATGTTTGTACTGGAGAACTTAAACACATAGTATTAAAAACTTGGCCCTAACATGGGGGAAATAGTTATTTGATTCCCTGCTGAAATGATAGGTTTGCTCACTTACGAAGAAATAAACTGTTTAATATACTGTTTCATTTTATTGGTGGCAGACCAGAAAGCCAGAAAAAACACA